GTGGGTTGTAGACTCCGTCTCATGCTACCACTAGAGTGAAAGCACCGCCAGCATTCAAAAGTGACCAAAACATCAGCCAGGAAGCATAGGAACTGAGAAGTGGTCTGTGGTCACCACCTGCAAAACCAGTCCTTTATTGGGGGGTGTCTTGCTAATTGCCTATAATTTCCACCTGTTGTCTATTCCATTTGCACAACAGCATGTGACATTTATTGTCAATCAGTGTTGCTTCCTAAGTGGACAGTTTGATTTCACAGAAGTGTGATTGACTTGGAGTTACATTGTGTTGTTTAAGTGTTCCCTTTATTTTTTTGAGCAGTGTATTATATATTACTCTGCTTGGCCTACACCTTCTATCTAGACTAACCTTGCTGTACCTACTGTACGTAACTATCATTCACAGAACCCTTCACTGGTTTAAGCGAAGAGAAGAGATACTCCAGTATGAATGAGTGTAATGTACGTGGGTGTTTTGCATGGCTAAGTAGAGCAAGAGGAAGAGAGATATCTTAACTGAGGTGTGACTGATGGTGTGAAGAGTCTTGTGTGCACAGATTATGTTTATTTTCATTGGTTCTTCCAAGTGTGTGTATGTGTGAGTAGGTGAGTACTGTAGATATGTGTGGTAAACGTCTGTCTGTGTGTACACCTGCCTTGCCTGCCTGACTGCCTGACTGACTGACTGCCTGACTACCTGACTGCTGGCTGACTGACTGACTGCTGACTGACTGCCTGCCTGCCTGCCTGCCTGACTGCCTGACTGCCTGACTGCTGGCTGCCTGACTGACTGCCTGACTGCCTGACTACCTGACTACCTGACTGCCTGACTGCTGGCTGACTGACTGACTGCCTGACTGCCTGCCTGACTGCTTGACTGCCTGACTAACTGACTGCCTGACTACCTGCCTGCCTGCCTGCCTGCCTGCCTGCCTGCCTGCCTGCCTGACTGCCTGACTAACTGACTGCCTGCCTGCCTGCCTGCCTGCCTGACTGCCTGACTGCCTGACTGCCTGACTGCCTGACTGCCTGACTGTCTGACTGCCTGCCTGACTGCCTGACTGCCTGACTGCCTACCTGACTGCCTGCCTGACTACCTGACTGCCTGCCTGACTGCATACTGCCTGCCTGACTACCTAACTGCCTGACTACCTGACAGCATGACTGCCTACCTGACTGACTGCCTGACTACCTGACTGCCTGACTGCTGCCTCACTGCCTGACTGCCTGACTGCCTGCCTGCCTACTGACTGCCTGCCTGCCTGCCTGCCTGCCTGACTGCCTTACTGCCTGACTGTTTGTGTTTGTATACTGTAGTCTAAGTGTGTATCCACAGACTGTTCAGTTTGCAGCTTGTAAGTGTGATACCTTCTCAGCTTGCCTGCAATAACTCTCTCCCAGCAGACCTCTATATGAAATAAATCATTCAGATTAATTAAATGTTCTGAAAGGCCATGTTGCTATGGAAGCGCTAGCTTGCTAGCCCTTGAAGAAGGAGCTGAGGCTCGGGTGGGGCTGGGAGGCTGGGACTAGAATCACACAGAAGATAAAGGAGAGGCTGGGAGGCAGGGTCTAGATAGAGAAGATGGAGGAGAGGCTGGGTCTAGATAGAGAAGATAGAGGAGAGGCTGGGTCTAGATAGAGATGATAGAGGAGAGGATGGGACTAGATAGAGAAGATAGAGGAGAGGCTGGGTCTAGATAGAGAAGATAGAGGAGAGGCTGGGTCTAGATAGAGAAGATAGAGGAGAGGCTGGGTCTAGATAGAGAAGATAGAGGAGAGGCTGGGACTAGATAGAGAAGATAGAGGAGAGGCTGGGTCTAGATAGAGATGATAGAGGAGAGGCTGGGTCTAGATAGAGAAGATAGAGGAGAGGCTGGGACTAGATAGAGAAGATAGAGGAGAGGCTGGGTCTAGATAGAGAAGATAGAGGAGAGGCTGGGACTAGATAGAGAAGATAGAGGAGAGGCTGGGTCTAGATAGAGATGATAGAGGAGAGGCTGGGTCTAGATAGAGAAGATAGAGGAGAGGCTGGGACTAGATAGTATCTTCAGTTACCTGAACATACAGTGCGTTCGGAAAGTATTCAGACCCCTTCCCTTTTTCCACATTTTGTTACGTTACAGACTCATTTTTAAAATGGATTAAAGAAATAAAAATCCTCATCAATCTACACACAATATCCCATAATGACAAAGCGAACACAGGCTTTTAGACTTGTTTGCTCATTTAATTTACAAAATAAAAACCTGAAATACCTTAGTTACATAAGTATTCAGACCCTTTGCTATAAGACTCGAAATTGAGCTTAGGTGCATCCTGTTTCCACTGATCATCCTTGAGATGTTTCTACAACTTGATTGGAGTCCACCTGTGGTAAATTCAATTGATTGGACATGATTTGGAAAGCCACACACCTGTCTATATAATGTCCCACAGTTGACAGTGCATGTCAGAGCAAAAACCAAGCCATGAGGTCGAAGGAATGGTCCGTAGAGCTCCGAGACAGGATTGTGTCGAGGCACAGATCTGGGGAAGGGTACTTGGTCAGGGAGGTGACCAAGAACCCAATGGTCACTCTGACAGAGCTCTAGAGTTCCTCTGTGGAGATGGGAGAACCTTCCAGAAGGACAACCATTTCTGCAGCATTCCACCAATCAGGCCTTTATGGTAGAGTGGCCAGACGGAAGCCACTCCTCAGTAAAAGGCACATGACAGCCCACTTGGAGTTTGCCAAAAGGCACCTAAAGACTCTCAGACCTTTAGTCTGATGAAACCAAGATGGGGTATTGCGTGTAGATTGATGAGGGAAAAAACAATTTAATCAATTTTGGAAAAAGGCTGTAACATAACAAAATGTGGAAAAAGTCAAGGGGTCTGAATTCTTTCTGAATGCACTATGTATAGGTCCATTATAATTTCGACATACTTTATATCTGGTTTTAGACATGTTTTTCTAACCCAAAATAATCAACCCATAAACCCCCCCCCCCCCCCCCAGAAAAAAAAAAATATGTATTTATTTTTTTACCTCCAGCAGACCCTCCCCTCTTCTACATCTGAAAGGACGGGATGGTTGTGAGCAAAATGGTGGAGCCACCAGCAGAGCAGGCCCCATGCCGGTCGGTAATTCGACCTGCTTACTACAAGTTTAGGAAGCTGGCCGCTAGACTAACTTACCAATCAAATTAGTTTTTGCTGACATGGACTAATTGAGTGACTGCTGATGCACAACCAAATGTTAGAAATTGCACCTTGTGTATTCTAATATTGTGACAGTAAGTTGAGACCCCGACTGAGGTCCTACATTTTATATATATATACTACTGTATATATATATATATACAGTAGGGAGAACAAGTATTTGATACACTGCCGATTTTGCAGGTTTTCCTACTTACAAAGCATGTAGAGGTCTGTAATTTTTATCATAGGTACACTTCAACTGTGAGAGACGGAATCTAAAACAAAAATCCAGAAAATCACATTGTATGATTTTTAAGTAATTAATTTGCATTTTATTGCATGACATAAGTATTTGATCACCTACCAACCAGTAAGAATTCCGGCTCTCACAGACTGTTAGTTTTTCTTTAAGAAGCCCTCCTGTTCTCCACTCATTACCTGTATTAACTGCACCTGTTTGAACTCGTTACCTGTATAAAAGACACCTGTCCACACACTCAATCAAACAGACTCCAACCTCCCCACAATGGCCAAGACCAGAGAGCTGTGTAAGGACATCAGGGATAAAATTGTAGACCTGCACAAGGCTGGGATGGGCTACAGGACAATAGGCAAGCAGCTTGGTGAGAAGGCAACAACTGTTGGCGCAATTATTAGAAAATGGAAGAAGTTCAAGATGACGGTCAATCACCCTCGGTCTGGGGCTCCATGCAAGATCTCACCTCGTGGGGCATCAATGATCATGAGGAAGGTGAGGGATCAGCCCAGAACTACACGGCAGGACCTGGTCAATAACGTGAAGAGAGCTGGGACCACAGTCTCAAAGAAAACCATTAGTAACACACTACGCCGTCATGGATTAAAATCCTGCAGCGCACGCAAGGTCCCCCTGCTCAAGCCAGCGCATGTCCAGGCCCGTCTGAAGTTTGCCAATGACCATCTGGATGATCCAGAGGAGGAATGGGAGAAGGTCATGTGGTCTGATGAGACAAAAATATAGCTTTTTGGTCTAAACTCCACTCGCCATGTTTGGAGGAAGAAGAAGGATGAGTACAACCCCAAGAACACCATCTCAACCGTGAAGCATGGAGGTGGAAACATCATTCTTTGGGGATGCTTTTCTGCAAAGGGGACAGGACGACTGCACCGTATCGAGGGGAGGATGGATGGGGCCATGTATCACGAGATCTTGGCCAACAACCTCCTTCCCTCAGTAAGAGCATTTAAGATGGGTCGTGGCTGGGTCTTCCAGCATGACAACGACCCGAAACACACAGCCAGGGCAACTAAGGAGTGGCTCCGTAAGAAGCATCTCAAGGTCCTGGAGTGGCCTAGCCAGTCTCCAGACCTGAACCCAATAGAAAATCTTTGGAGGGAGCTGAAAGTCCGTATTGCCCTGCGACAGCCCCGAAACCTGAAGGATCTGGAGAAGATCTGTATGGAGGAGTGGGCCAAAATCCCTGCTGCAGTGTGTGCAAACCTGGTCAAGACCTACAGGAAACGTATGATCTCTGTAATTGCAAACAAAGGTTTCTGTACCAAATATTAAGTTCTGCTTTTCTGATGTATCAAATACTTATTTCATGCAATAAAATGAAAATTAATTTCTTAAAAATCATACAATGTGATTTTCTGGATTTTTGTTTTAGATTCCGTCTCTCACAGTTGAAGTGTACATATGATAAAAGTAGGAAAACCTGCAAAATCGGCAGTGTATCAAATACTTGTTCTCCCCACTGTATATATACCCTCTGGACAGTGTGTAATGTTGTCTCCTCCTTCTCTCTAGGTACTACTCTGTCCTCTACCCTCTGGAGAGGAAGATCTCCGACGCCAGATCACGTGACCTGGTTATCTACATCTGGATCCACGCCACCATCGCCAGTGTGCCCGTGTTCGCCGTCACCAACGTTACCGACGTGTACGCCACCTCGTCATGTTCCGACTCCCGCGCCCGCTCCTTGGGTCACATGGTCTACGTGTTGACCTACAACGTAACCACGGTGATTACATTTACATTGTGATAATTTAGCAGTCAGTTTTATCCAGTCAGTGCATTTCAATCATTGCAAGTAAAAACCTTCTTTAAAAAATGAGCTTTCAGCAAAGCCAGTGTTAGTAACAAAATACAAGTTTGAGTGCTATCTCGAACCTTTAAGGATTCTTTGGCTGTCCCAATAGGAGAACCCTTTGAATAACCCTTTTGGGTTCCATGTAGAATCGTTTCTACAGAGGGTTCTACGTGGAACCCAAAAGGGTTATACCTGGAACCAAAAAGGGTTCTACATGGAACCAAAAAGGGTTCTCCTATGGGGACATCCGAAGAACCCTTTTAGAACCCCTTTTTTCTAAGAGTGTAGTGCAGGAAAGACAACAGTACAACAGTTGTTGTGTTTTTAATGTATTTTATTTTTAGGTGATCCTCCCCCTGGCAGTCGTCTTCCTGTTCATGGTTCTGATTCGCCGAGCCCTTAGCGCCAGCCAGAAGAAGAAGGTGATTATTGCGGCTTTGAGAACCCCTCAGAACTCCATCTCTATTCCGTATGTGTCGCAGCGCGAGGCTGAGCTACACGCTACATTACTGGCTGTAGTTCTAGCCTTCTCGGCCTGTAGCGCCCCCTATGGGGCGTTGGTGGTATACCGCACTCTTCTCGGGGACGGCGAGGACTTGCCTTCTTCTCTCTACCTCACAGCTATCTGGCTGCCAAAGGTGTCTCTCCTCACCAACCCTCTGCTGTTTTTGACGGTGAACCGTACGGCCAGGCGCTGCCTGTTGGATGTTGTAGCCCGGGTTCACAGACGCTACAGCCGGCGTAACGTAGTCAGCACTGGGGCCCTGGGGCTGGGGCTGGGGCTGGGGGGCGAGGGAGGGCTGGAGGGGTCGGCTCGGGCCGGGAGCCAGCTCCTGGAGATGTTTAATATCGGACAGCAGCAGATCTTTAGGCCGACCAATGAAGAGGAGGAGGAGGAGGTGGAGAATGAGATACCTTCGTTAGGGTCAGGGGGTGGTGGAGGCTGTTCGCAGCCCAAAGAGAACCACCTTGGAGGGGGTAGACTAGGGGGATGTGAAGGGGAGATGGTTCTACAGAAGGAGACCCAACCAACCAGAGAGAGTGTCCTAGTGACTAAAGAACCTCCTCCTCTCATATTGGCCAAGGTCTCCCCTGCCCCTGTCCACGCCTGTGCTTACACCTCCTCGTCACAGGTGGCGCCAGCGACCCCCACGGAGCCCGAGGACGCCACCCAGTTTGGGTTCGGTCCGTTCGAGCTTCCACCCCAGTGGCTGCCGGAGACCAGGAACAGTAAAAAGAGGCTCCTCCCACCGCTGGGGAACACCCCCGAGGAACTGATCCAGACCAAACATCCACGCCCACGGCCAGAACGACGAATCAGCAGGAACAACAAGGTCAGCACCTTCCCCACCGTTGACCCCTGAACTATGAACCCTGACCGTTGACCTTTGAACCGATGATCCCTGATGACAGCTATGGCTGGAGGTCAGCCAGAGTAGTATTCCACTGACAGAGCGTAATGAGAACAGCAATGCACTTTTTTCCCTTTTCTATCAAGTTTTTGATACATTTTATGTCAAATGACTGGATACAAATTCAATGGAGGAAACCTGACCAACCACCTGACCAACAACCTGACCAAAGACCCCCTGTAAGAGAAAGCAAGGACGTACAACTCCAGAGCTTGATAAGTCTGTCTCGTTGTTGATTCTCCCTGTCGTGGAATGGATACATTGTCTGTCAATGACTGGGCGAGATTCTAGAAAGTCCACACATCGACACCTAACAGCCCCAAGTCTAATGTCTAAAGCCACGTTTTTCTGGAGACATTGGTCGACCCCGATTTTGACCCCAATGTCCTGGTTTGGATGTTCTCTCTTTTCTTCTTGTTCTATCGTTCCTATAAATATTTTCAATTGATTTGTAATAGTACTGTTAACAGAACAATTAAAACATTTTCAATTGATTTGTAATAGTACTGTTAACAGAACAGGTAAAACCATTTCAATTGATGTGTACTGGTACTGCTAACAGAACAGGTAAAACATTTTCAATTGATTTGTAATAGTACTGTTAACAGAACAGGTAAAACCATTTCAATTGATGTGTACTGGTACTGCTAACAGAACAGGTAAAACATTTTCAATTGATTTGTAATAGTACTGTTAACAGAACAGGTAAATCCTTTTCAATTGATGTGTACTGGTACTGCTAACAGAACAGGTACAACATTTTCAATTGATTTGTAATAGTACTGTTAACAGAACAGGTAAAACCTTTTCAATTGATTTGTAATAGTTCTGCTAACAGAACAGGTAAAACCTTTTCAATTGATGTGTACTGGTACTGCTAACAGAGCAGTGGGGTTAAAACCTTTTCAACATCTCTGTTTTATTCAACATAATTAGTACATTCAATTCAATCTAGTTGATTTCTAAGAAAAGTTTCCATTCGATTCTTGCAAGGCCACATTTACATTGTGATTGACATGGAGAACTGAGACACACAAACACTGGATGAATCTTAGATTCTGGCTTAGACGTTGAAGCTAAATAAGAGTATTTCTCAAGGGGTTTTTCCATGAACAAAACATCTTCTGACATGATTCAACTGTCATCATCAAGTCTGAAATAAGGAATGATTTTCTGTGTCAAACCTTTCACTTTGTCTCCATAGTTATGTCATTTCTATGGTTGTTGTTCATCAAAAGCAACCAGAAATATTTAATTTGGAGAAATCTATCAAGCCTTGAGCCGTAGCTGTCCCTATGTGGGCTTCATTTTCATTCTGTATTATATTGAGTTTATTTTCTAGGGTAGAACGTTTTAATTCGATATTATATTGAGTTTATTTTCTAGGTTAGAACGTTTTAATTCTATATTATATTGAGTTTATTTTCTAGGGTAGAACATTTCATTTCTATACTATATTGAGTTTATTTTCTAGGGTAGAACATTTCATTTCTATATTATATTGAGTTTATTTTCTAGGTTAGAACGTTTTAATTCTATATTATATTGAGTTTATTTTCTAGGGTAGAACATTTCATTTCTATATTATATTGAGTTTATTTTCTAGGGTAGAACATGTCTCTTCAGATGTATGGAATACCATTCCTTTCCAATGCCAACCCTTTGTAGTACAGACAGTGACTGGAACATTCAATGAAATGAATGACATGATAAGTGCAATTGTACAGTATGCAAATATAGTATAAAATTGAATTAACTGAGTTATATGATCCTCGTGTTCTGTTCATATTCTATCATGAAACTCTTCTAAAACAGTGTTCCTCCACCTCCGACTCCTGGATGGCCCCGGTCCGTGGGATATTGCTTTCCGGACCCTGAGATGCTAGAGTGCTAGTTTTGATGTAAGCGGAACCCCAGGAGGAAAAGAACACAGCTTGCCAGTCCTAGCCTGGGCTCATATCCCCCAGGAGGAAAAGAACACAGCTTGCCAATCCTAGCCTGGTCTCATATCCCCCAGGAGGAAAAGAACACAGCTTGCCAGTCCTAGCCTGGTCTCATATCCCCCAGGAGGAAAATAAGACAGCTTGCCAGTCCTAGCCTGGTCTCATATCCCCCAGGAGGAAAAGAACACAGCTTGCCAGTCCTAGCCTGGTCTCATATCCCCCAGGAGGAAAAGAACACAGCTTGCCAGTCCTAGCCTGGTCTCATATCCCCCAGGAGGAAATGAACGAACCCGCTTGCCAGTCCTAGCCTGGTCTCATATCCCCAGGAGGAAAAGAACACAGCTTGCCAGTCTAGCCTGGTCTATATCCCAGGAGGAAAAGAACACAGCTTGCCAGTCCTAGCCTGGCTCATCATCCCAGGAGGAAAAGAACACAGCTTGCCAGTCCTAGCCTGGTCTCATATCTTTCTGTTCTTGCCAACTCATTTGCTCATCGCTCAAACAATGAGTGACAAGAAGTTGGCATTTTAGCAAAACACACTGGCACACAGTCCTTGTTATAAAACAGATTGTGAAACACTCCTTAAAGGGCCATCGGTAGTAGAGGGTCGATCCAAAATGGCACCCGATGTCCTATATAGTGCACTGCTTTCTACCAGAGCACTATGGGCCCGGTCAAAAATAGCGCACTATAAAGGGAATCGTGTGCCATTTAGGACACAATCCTTGAAGAGAGTCTGGAGTGAGTACGTGAGGGGAAAGGGTTCTGTGTGATTAGATCTCCTACCAAGCCTCCATGGATCAATCCTATTGACTCTACAGAGAAGCTGCAGCTCAATAACCTGACTGCTCCATTTAGAACACACTCTGCTTGGTATAATTAAGCAATAAGGCACGGGGGGGGTGTGGTATATGACCAATATACCACGGCTAAGGGCTGTTCTTATGCACGAGTGCCTGGATACGGCCCTTAGCCGTGGTATATTGGCCGTACTGTATACCACAAACCCCCGAGGTGCCTTATTGCTATTATAAACTGGTTACCAACGTAATTAAAACAGTACAAATAAATGTCATACCCTTGGTATACGGTCTGATATACCACAGCATTTAGCCAATCAGCATTCAGTGCTCGAACCACCTGGTTTATAATTAATAATGAACCTCTGACAAATTAGAAATTCATATAGGCCTAACGAAAGTCTCTTGATTAATAGATAATGTCAGATTTAATTTAGAACCCTATATTTTGTTGTAGCGCTCAAGCCACAAGGTTTACAAAGATCATAACTGAATCACGTACTTTGTCTTTTTTCTGATGATGGTCACTGACAGGTTTACACTGAATATATAAAATATTAGGAACAACTTCCTAATATTGAGTTGCACCCCCTTTTGCCCTCAGAACAGCCTCAATTCGTTGGGGCATGGACTCTACAAGGTGTCGAAAGCGTTCCACAGGGATGCTGGCCCATGTTGACTCCAATGCTTCCCACAATTGTGTCAAGTTGGCTGGATGTTCTTTGGGTGGTGGACCATTATTGATACACACGGGAAACTGTTGAGCGTGAAAAACTCAGCAGCGTTGCAGTTCTTGATACAAACCGGTGCGCATGGCACCTACTACAATAGCCATTTCAAAGGCACTTAAATATTTTGCCCATTCACCCTCTGAATGGCACACATACACAATCCATGTCTCAATTGTCTCAAGGCTTAAAAATCCTTATTTTAACCAGTCTCCTCCCCTTCATCTACATTGATTGAAGTGGATTGAAAAGGTGACATCAATAAGGGATCATAGCTTTCACCTAGATTCACCTGATTAGTCACTAGCTAGGTTTCCATCCAATTGGCGACAGATTTTCATGTGAATACGCTAGAATCCGCATAAAGAAAATATACACATTTTCCAGCAGTGGTGTGTTTCCACAAAATGGACCGAATGAAAATCTAAAGTTCGATATGTTTCCATCGCATTATATTATATCAATATTTCCACATAAAGGCGTTTCCACCGCCCTTTATCGCATAATTAATTTTACCAACACAAAATGATCCCACCATGTTGAACGAACAAGTTATCTGTTGGCATTCATAAAATTGTCCCGAAACTTCCTGTTTCCATCACAGCTGTCATTGCCTTTTTTTTATACGGTATGACATTACTCACATAGAAACTGTGGATGGAATTGTGGTTTATGTCATGGAAAGAGCAGGTGTGGCTAATGTTTTCTACACTCAGTGTATATGCTGTCAAGTATGTCAAAATAAGAAAAGGATTGTCATGTTTTGGCTATAATGTTTTCGTTACAGCACCAAGTAATCCACGTCATCAATGAAAATCCCCCATTGTATCCAGTGGTGTAAAGTATTTCACTAAAAGTTTTCTGAGGTATCTGTACTTTACCATTTATATTTGTTGACTACTTTTACTCCACTACATTCCTAAAGAAAATAATGTACTTTTTACTCCATGCATTTTCCCTGACGCCCAAAAGTACTCGTTACATTTTGAATGCTTAGCAGGACAGGAAAATGGTCCAATTCACACACTTCTTAAGAGAACATCCCTGGTCATCCCTACTGCCTCTGATCTGGCGGACTCACTAAACACAATGCTTTGTTTGTAAATTATGTCTAAGTGTTGGAGTGTGCCGCTGGCTATCCATAAATAAATAAAAACAAGAAAATGGTGCCGTCTGGTTTGCTTAATATAAGGAATGTGAAATGATTTATACTTTTACCTTTACTTTTGATGCTTAAGTGTATTTTAGCAATTACATTTACTTTTGATACTTAAGTATATTTAAAACCAAATATTTTAGACTTTTACTTAAGTCATATTTTACTGTGTGACTTTCACTTTTACTTGAGTCATTTTCTATTAAGGTATCTTTACTTTTACTCAAGTTTGACAATTGGGTACTTTTTCCATCACTGATTGTATTTTCCCTTTCCCCTGATATCAAAAGTGAAAGCCCTAGAAAGCCCTGTAGCGACATAACTT